ATGCATTTATTCGTTCATTATTTATGCACTTTTGTGATGTCAAANACAACAACAAAATATTATATAACAAATGTATGAATAAATAAATCAAATGAATTACTTTTTTTTTTTTTTTAAATAAATTCAACATCAAATTTTGTTCTTGTGTGGTGTACATATATATGTATATGTTGTATTATGTTGTAAAATATAATTCAAGGTTCGTATTGATTAATACAAATTGAGTGTTACGTAATTATATTACAAGTCGTACAGGTTTTTAAATTGTATTATGTATTATTCATTAAAATTTCGTTAAAATTTTGATGAAAATTCAATTCGTGACTAATTTGAATTATAATTTGTGGTATAGAAAGAATCACAAATTAGGAATTCGTGATCGTTAAAGTTACATAATGAGAATAATCTTCCTTTTTATTCCTTTATTCGTTACTTGCGATTTCTACGATTGTATTTTTTATTATTTTATTTATGTAAGTTACTTTTAATATTGGCACGTGGTTTTTTCTTTTTTTTTTTTAATTACCTATTGAAATGAACATGTAAGAAGAAAAAAAAATGTAGTCAAATTTTTGATATTACTCAAAAAGTTGATTAAAACAAATTACATTCATCAATTCGTGTGTAATAAAAAAAAAAAGAAATAAGAAAAATGAACGATCATTCGATAATATTTATTACAGTTAATTGAAAAACAATTTATTTACTACGAAATCGTAAAATTTATTTGTAAAAATTCGACAGAAATTTTGCAATTTTACATTAAATGAAAAATTACGAATTTTGGTTATCATCATATAATATTAATAATAATAATAGTAATATATAAAAAAAAAAAACTGAATTGAATATTTTATTAAACATATGTAATAAAATTTGATCACTATGAAATATCGTTCACGCCAACCATGAACGAAATAATGTGAAGTTTAAGAAAAAAAAAATATATATATATATAAAAAGGAAAAAAAATAAAAAAAAAAAATGTCGGAAATAAAATTGATCTTCCGTGAACGTTAAAACATAGAGAAAAAAAAATTATACTAAATGTAGAAAGACTTTTTAATAATAATAATAATTATTATTATTATAATAATAATTATAATAATAGTTTAATTAGATATACGCCATGATTGTTTTTTTTCTTCCGGTTTGCGTGTTGAATAATTCGAAAAAAAAAAAAAAAGAACCGGAAACAATAAAATTCATTCAATCATTTATTATCAATTTTCAACAAAAAATTATCTTTTATATAAATTTAACGAAATTTCAAAATTTCAATGAAATATTTCAATATACGATTGATTTATTATAAAAATAAAAAAAAAATAAAAAATAAAATATAAAACATACGTTTCGTTGAAGATTATTATAAATAAATGTAATCTATCATTTCAAAACCAAAAAAAAAGAACAAGAAATATTTATGGTCGATTCAAAAAATTTATTTAAAAAAAAAAAAAAATGAATATGTAAAAAAAGGTAACATGTGATTTATAAATGAATGCGTAAAAAGGTTAAGATATCGTAAGAATAATTAAAATGAATGAACACTTTCCTCTTATATCTTCTTCTTCTTCTTTTTCTTATCTAATTATCTTTCGTATTTTTAATTTTTCAACAATTATGATTAAACTTCAAGATAAGTTAAGTACTTATGTGTGTTTTTTCTTATTTGTACACACGCTTTCTAATCGAATCTAATACATTTTCTAAGTCGTTCTTAGAGATTATAATATTATGATGATTTTTATTTTAATTAAAAACAAAAATAAAAAATAAAAAATAAAATACGATGCAAGAGGAATAAAACACAATTAATTATATTAATTAATAAAATATATATAAAATAATATTTCTAATATTTATAATAATAAATAAATAATAATATATAATATATATAATAATAATATATATATTATAATAATAATAAATAATAATATAATAATAATATATAAAATAAATTGAAATTAATATTCTATTAAATAAAATAATATTATATAAATATCTATTAAATAATATAATTAAATAATAAATAATAATATTAATTTAATACTATAATTAATATAATAATATATATATATAATGTTTCAATAAATATGAAATTATTATACAATTATCAAGAAATGAAATTACATCTCGTGATATTATATTAAATAATAATAAATATAAAAAATAGAAACATAATTGAATCTATGATTGAACTTCATTGAAAGTATTATACATATGTACGTATATTTTAACAACGTCAAGTTGTTATTATTATTATAAACCTGATCGTAAACTTTCGAGAGAAAGGAAAGGTACGAAAGTTCGATATTGCCATGAGTAGTTATTTAATATTTGTAACACGTTAAAACGTTCCGTAATACGCACCAATCAGCAGCAATTCTGAACAAGTTAAGATTCTTAATAATTTTATTACACTATTACATTATTTCTGGTTTATTACGTTTGAGCTTATTAATAACATTTTTGTTTCTTTTTTATTTTTAATAATGTAATCATTATTACGAATATTTCTTCCTCCTATATTATAGATTATTATTTTTATTTATTCCAATTATTTTTGTATTTAACAACAATTTTTCAACGTTAGTAGGAGAAAGTAATTTTTATGAAAGAGAAGACAAAAGGACAAAGAAAACATTTATTTAATAGATAATTTATATAATTATTATTATTTATTTAATAAAATATGAAAAATTCAATTTATTTTATATAAAATACTATATGGTGTATTTAATAAAAATTACATTATAATTTGTATTTGATTTTTGCAAAGTAATAGTACAAATATTATTTTAGTATATTATTTATTTTAATATTTATTATTTTAGTATTTTTCAATTTAATATTTATTATAAATTTTATTATTTTATAGTATTTTTATAATAATTATTATAAATTATCTTATTATATTATTTTAAAGTATTATTTCTTTTAAATTGTATTTATTTATTACTATAGTATTTTTTATAATATTATATATTATTTTAGTATTATTTATTATAATAATTATTATAGATATTATTTTAGTATTATTTATTTTATTAATTATAAATACAATTATTTTATTGTAATAGTAATTCATTATAATAAATATTTATACTCACTAGTATTTATTTTAATAATTATAAATTTTATTATTTATATTATTTATTATATTAATAAATAATTATTATATACTATTTTATTACTATTATTTATTTTAATAATTATAAATTTAACTATTTTATTATTTTAGTAAAAATTATTATAAAAATATTATTTATACCTACTGGGATTTGATCCACTGAACTTTGTTTTAGTAGGTCAAGGGGGAGGAGAGACACTGCATCTCTACCACCTGAGCTATTCACAAACTACCGAATATTTTTTTATATTATATCATTATATTATATTTTTTTATAAAACAATTTTTAATATTTATTCCTATTTATTATAATTTATATATATAATAATAATTATTTATATTATATTAAACATTTAAAAACTTTTTGTGACAAGCAAATAGAAAACTGCAAATCATTGAGTTTGCTCTTGTGACAAAATTAGAATTCTCTTCTAGGAATGTTTTTTTTTTTTTTTTGTAATACTTTATTTATCTAACCAAAGAAATTTAAATATGAATGAATAAAGAAAAAAAAAAAAGAAACAAAAACAAAATGAAATGAAAGAAGAGACAAACAGATTTGTCATAATGGTTGAATGATTTGAAGTATTTCTTAGTCCTTGTGTCAAGTTAAATAAATTTGAATTAGTGAAAAGTCCATGAAAAACCGGTCGGTAACATCCAACAAGAGAGATACGAAAGTTTTCAATGCTATGGTCATCGAAAGCCAAGGTCATGAAGAGTCAAGGTGGATACTATCCATGCTTGAGAAATTAGTATGAAAGAATAACTTCCATAAATTAGTTTTGTTAATCGTCTTGTAAAATCTTTTACGATTGACTTCTTTTTTTCTTCTTCTTCTTCTTCTTCTTCTTCTTCTTTTATTATGGCTTCTTGTTTTATTTTTATTTTTATTTTACACAAAAATCCAAAGATGGTAATGGACGGAATAGATAGATAGAAAGAAAGAAAGAAAGAAAGAAAGAAAAAAAACAAAAGTACGAATAAAAAAGTTGCAAGGATATTCAAGACTGGTTTTTTTTAATTATAATGATACTCACTTAAAATATTTTTTTTTTGAGGTTATAAACGAGTTTTATATGATCAGAATAATTTGTATAAATCAGAATTTTATAAATCATAAATTTGATTTTTGATGAAATTATTGACACGTTTTAAATGACACCCTATATAAATATATAAGATTGAACATAATATTGTTAATAAACTTGTACATACATTTAGCATAGTCAAAATAATGATGGAATAATTACTACGTTAGTTTTATTACGATAATTAAATCAAATTATAGAAAAATTTAATTTAATAATAATAAAAAAATTAATTATTTATAATAATTATCAAAAATAAATAAAAAATACTAAAATAATATAATAAAAAAATAATATATAATAATTATTATAATACTAAAATAATATTTGTAATATTACTTTACAAAAATGAAATACTATTTAATATTTAATTTTTATTATTATTATTATTATTATTAATTTTAATTGGTATTAGGAACTCGAAACTTCATAGTCGCAAATACCAAATCCCCCCATATTTTCCGTCCCTGAGCTCGATCCTTCCATTCGCGGTCTTCGCATCCTAATTATTGTTTATCAATTTAAATTTAAATTAAAAAAAAATACATCACTGAGCTGTTTTTTCTTTTCAATTTTTTTTTGTCTTCTTCTTCTTCCAATCAACGTTGTAAAAAAAAAAAATAAATAAATAAATAAAACATATAAACTTACCGAGTCATCTCATCGATCATTTGCATAAATCAATCCTCACAAACCTAACCAATTTGTACAAAATTACGTAATAATATTATTATTCAATTTGATTGGTTTCTTTTTGATTTTTGTTTTTACAGGGGCAGCAGTGGCCTTGGGAGTATTATTGATCATTATAGCAGCAATATTGGCAGGAATTTTTCCAAAATTAATCGAAGTCATCGTAAACAAGCAAATAGCATTGAAAGATGGTGGAAGGACTTTTGGTTGGTGGAAGGCACCACCAGTGACACCCTATTTACATATTTACATTTACAATGTTACCAATGCTGATGAATTTTTAAATAATGGAGAAAAACCAATACTCGATGAATTAGGTCCATACGTTTACAAACAACGTTGGGAGAAAGCTGACATTACATTCAACGGAAATGATACGATCAGTTACAAAATACGAAAGACATATGTATTTACCCCGGTAATTATTATTATTATTTTATTATTATTATTATTATTATTATTTAACACCTTAAGGAACAATTTTGACTCAACTATGGAGGGTAGAAGTAAGGAGTAACATTTCTGTATATAAAAAGTGTCCGTCGAAATGCATTCAATTAGGGTGGCGCCACAGTACGTAGAGGATAAATTTTAAAAGAAGCGCCAAATATTATTACAGTAGGATTGAGAAATAAACAAGAAACACAAATTTCACAATACAAATTTTACTCCATAACTGTTTTGTTATTCACATACTTTTTTCATAAAATTATTAAATGATAAAAAATCAATAAACGTACTATTCACAGTTAACAAAATAAAATCACTTTAGCTACACGTTTTCTCATAATAATTCTTTAAGGTTATATTTTACTACATTATTACGTAACTCGGCATACTTCAATTCGTTTACAATTGCTACGTTCATACCATACCTTCTGTCTACACTAGCGCCATTCTGGAAGGTTTTTAAACTATTATTTATAGAAAATGCAGGACACTTTTTCACATTTTCTTCCATAAGAGATGTTACTCCTTACCTCTACCCTCCATAATCATATTTTGGCTCACATGAATTAATTGTATAATAAATAATTAATAAATGAATAAAAAGATACAGGTAAGTACAGCGCCATCTGTTCCGCCATAGATTCGGATGAGTGCGTGAACAATTTGAACATAACCTAACCTTTATCTATACGATAACGTCATATTTATGGGGGGTAGAGGTAAGGAGTAATATCTCTGTATATGAAAAGCATGTCCGTCGAAATGCATTCAATTATGGTGGCGCCACAGTACGTAGAGGATAAATTTTAAAAGAAGCGCCAAATATTATTAGAGTAGGATTGAAAAATAAACAAGAAAGTCCCTTTTTCAATCCTTTAAGTATTATTTTTAAGTATATCTTTAAAGAAATATCCTATCATGCATCGTAAATAAGCAGATGGAGTAACAAAAGACTTGAAATCAGCTGCTGGGCGCCGTATTGGCGCCATTCGAGTGCAAAGGGTTAACAATAATTAAATATTTACTTTTGTCGTATTATTAATGTTCTTTCATGCACTTAGAATTGCACTTCGAATTGCACTTCGAATTGCACTTGGAGTTTCACTTAGAATTGCACATGGAATTTCACTTAGAATTGCATTTGGAATTGCACTTGAAATTGCATTTTGGAATTGCATTTAGAATTGCACTTAGAATTGCATTTAGAATTGCACTTAGAATTGCAATTGAAATTGCACTTAGAATTGCAATTGAAATTGCACTTGGAATTGCAATTGAAATTGCACTTGGAGTTGCAATTGAAATTGCACTTGGAATTGCAATTGAAATTGCACTTGGAGTTGCAATTGAAATTGCAATTGAAATTGCACTTGGAATTGCAATTGAGATTGCAATTGAAATTGCACTTAAAATTGCACTTAAAATTGCACTTGGAATTTTTTTCTCTATTTTTTAATCTTATTTGTTGTTTCTTGTTTATTTTTTCTTTAATGATTAAAAATATTATTAATTTATTTGATTGAAGTTGATTTGTAATTTTCATCAAACGTAAAGTACTTAGTAAAAAAAAACATTTGTCAGTGTAATTATTCACGTGAATTATCTTACATAAATGAATAAAAAAAAAAAAAAAAAAGAAGAAAAAAATGCATTAAAAATTTAATATATTCACATACGTAGAAGAAACGGATCAATAGGTTACCATGTGTGTATGTTGTTTCTTAGAAATAATAATGATCATTAGTAAGAAGATTTGAAATCTGTCAGCAACATTTTCTTATTATTATTACTATTGTTATTATTATTATTATTATTATTATTATTTAAACCAATCTCTTTCTCTTTCGAGTTCATCAAAGTTTTCTTCAGTTGCGTAAACACAATCAAAGTAAAAAAAAAAAAAATAAATAAATAAATTGACTTTTAATAATAATTTATTCTCGAGCTATAATTTTATTCAAAAGCAACATTCTAATCCAGGAACGTAATTAAACTTTTTAGGAACCCCATTCTTCCATTCCTTCCTTCTCTAAAGCCCATTTTTTTGGAAATGTTAAAAACAAAACTAAAAATTTTAATTATTTCTGTAATAATTTGAATTTTAATCAAAATACTAATTCTAAAGTAACATTTGAATTCGTGTACATGTGTGTGTGTGTGTGGTTTTTTCATTTTTAAGGTTTGCAATTTATTTTAACAATTTAAAAAAACAAAATTATGAGAGAAACATTAAACGATTCGAATCTTAAATAAAAATAATGAACAGTAATTTTGTTTTATATTTTAATTTTAAATAAATTATACTAAATTATATTTAATTATAATATTTTGTATAAAAAAGAAATAAAATCATAGTTTGTATTTAAAATACATCCTTATACTAAATACGTTCCTGTTTTAATGAAATATAAATCACGAATATATGAAAAATGAACTGTAATTTATTATAAATCAAAACTAACCTCAAAAGATTTTACACTTTTTCGAAGAGACGTTGTTATTGTTGTTGTTGTTTTTGTTAATAAAAAAATTAGAATCAGTGATTTTAATTAATCATTTGATTTTCCTTTTATCTTTCACTTTTAATTTTTGTTTTTTTTTTCTTGTTTTTTATTTATTTTTCTATTGCATCTCGTAATCCTTTCGTACGATGACCTTATGACCGAGCATCAAAGAACGTATCTGGCGTGATTTCTCTTATTTCAAGGAAATGTAATCTTTTGTGTTGAAAATGATCGAGACGAGATTATTGTAAAAGAAGACGAATAATAAATCGTGAAAGTCATTACATGATCAACAACAGTCGAGAAAAAAAAGAAGACGAGAAAAAAGATCCATATTTGAATCACTACACTAATCCAAGTAACGTTTACTTCAACGTAATAATATATCTAAATAAATAAGTTATTTATGATTAATGATCATTCATTATTTTTTATATTATTTTATATCTATATTATAAATCAATAGTAAAAGAAAAATATATAGCACAATATATATATATATATATATATGTATATGAATTAACTATAAATAGTTAGTAATAATTAACTATGAATTAACTATAAATATATATATATTAGTATAATTAACTATGAATTAATTCTATGAATTAATTAATTTAAATATATTAGTAATAATTAACTATGAATTAACTATAAATATATATATATATATAATATTATATTAAATTATATACTAACAATAATAATTTGAGAAAACATATATAAGTACTTAAGATCAAATTTTGTTTTAATATTCAGTTTAATTATTATTATATACATATTTAAATATTATATTTAAATAAATATATATTTTAATAATATAACTATATAACTATATAATAATTAACTAAATACTAAGAATAATTATTTGAAAATAAACATATCTCAGTAACTAAGAAAAAATTCAATTTTAATATTCAATTTAAATATTAATATATAGATATATTTATATTATAGATTATATATTTAAAGAATATATTTAAATATAATATTTAAATAAATATATATTTAAATAATATAACTATATAACTATATAACTGTATAACTATATAATATTAAACTAAATACTAAGAATAATTATTTGAAAAAAACATATCTTAGTTACTAAGAAAACATTTAGTTTTAATATTCAATTTAAATATTAATATATAGATATATTTATATTATAGATTATATATTTAAATATTATATTTAAATATATATTTTAATAATATAACTATATAACTATATAACTACATAGTATTAAACTAAATACTAAGAATAATTATTTGAAAAAAAAACATATCTCAGTAACTAAGAAAAAATTCAGTTTTAATATTAAGTTTAAATATTAATATATAATATATTTAAATATTATATTTAAATAAATAAATATTTTAATAATATAATTATATAATATTAAATGATACACTAATTATAATTATTATAGAAAATATATTTCCAATAATCAAAAAAGGAACTATTTGAAAGTTTAGTTTTAATATTAAATTTAAATAATAATCTATACATATTTAAATATTATATAATATTTACATTTTAATATATATTTTAATAATATAACTATATAATATTAAATTAAATACTAACAATAATTATTTGAAAAAAAAAAAAAAACATATCTTAGTAACTAAGAAAAAATTCAGTTATAATATTCAATTTAAATATTAATAATTATATATATATATATATATATATATGAATGTGTTGAGATTATATTTATAAATTCGAATTGATACAACAACGTAGTAAGCAAAGCTAAGCAAAGTAAAATAAGTAAGCAAGCAAGCAAGTTGAAAGAAGGTATTTCATGCAATGGTATATATATATAACACTCGTAGTAAACGTTCAAGTAACTTTCACCTGCGACGAAAACGATAAGTATGCACATTTACGTGTGCAATAATTAGTATTGGAACTTAAAATCCTTGATTTCTCGAATATACTCCTTTCAAAAAATAAAAAAAAATATAAAAAAAAAATATTTACAAATAATAATACTAATACTAATACGAATATATGCAAAATTATATTATACATAATTAATTTTATTAATTTAAATCATTTTAATGTAAATAATTTTAATAAATAATGTAATAATTTGAAAAAAAAATTAATTAATTTTAATAATTATACTTTATGATTTGAGGTTAGACTTTAACTGATAAAATTATCATTCGATCGATTTTAATTAATTTATTGCATTAATATCATTAATTAATATTTATATTTCTTCGAATAAGTTTAAAAAGAAAATTTTAAAATAGATGTTAATAAAATTACGATCAAGAACGTCCAAAGGTTACACATTTACAAAAAAGTCTACAAAATTCTAGTGAATGGAAGAGTTAAAGATAAAACTTATGCATAATTTATATTTCATTTGACGTTCACACCTTTCGTAAGATTTATAAAATAAAAATGTAAAAGAAAATATATATATATATATATATATATATATATATATTTACCAGTTAGCAATGAACATTGTTATTTGTAATCGATTTTTTCTTATTTTATAAAAAAAAAAAAGAAAAAATATAAATAAATAAATAAGAAAAATTAAATATACATCATGGTCACACAATGTATTATTATACATCCTGTAATTATTGTTGTTATATGTGTATTATAAAAGAAAAAAAAAAAAAAAAAAAAAAGAAATACCGATTTAATTGCAATTTATTATAGGCAGTCGATTTAATTGCAACTTTATATGCAGAGTTGACATTTTATATTTTTATTTTTTATTAAATTATTTGATAAACAAAATGTGTGACCATTTTTTTATATTTCATGATCAAATTAATATTACGTGATATTATTTTTTTTTAAACAAAGTCAAACAATAATTTTTTTTTCTGTACACTTTAAGACAGTAATTAAATCTAAATGTCAAAACAATCGGATTTTATTTTCATGTATAAAAAAAATTCCGGGGAAAAAAAAAATCGTCGACATTTTGTGGTGTCACACCGGGCTTCTTATACCTTAATTAAACCTCATTTTAAATACAGCCCTGACCAAAGGTACACACACACACACACACACACAAATACATATATAAATCTACGTATTGAATATTGATTTCAAAATAAACTCAAACGTTAAATATTTTTTGGCAAAAGGTTCGCCATTGGATATTTTTATGTTAAATAAGAACCAGTAAAACCTGTCGTCACTAAAAATAGATTTATCTACTTACTTCTTGAATTAAATATATATATATATATATATAGATTTTTTTATTATTTCTTTTTTTTTAAATACCAAAAGAAAAAAAGGAAAAATAATATTCAAAATAATGGAGATAAAAATTTTGGTAATATGTTCCTACATTTATTTCTTTTACTTCTCATTAGAATAAATCATTTTATTTTTTTTTTTTTAACACCAAATTGTCAGATGTATTTTTAAATAGCAATAAAAAAAAAAAAAAAAAGAAAAAGAAAAAAATAATAGAACGGAATAAATGAATTAAATTAATGGTCACTAATGGTAAGGAGGACGACAATCTTTGTAAATGTTAAATGTGTAATATTATAACTTTAAAAGGAAAATTTTGTAGAAACTAGAAGGACACACTGTGTACACATGTATGTATGTATGTATGTGTGTATGTTTACCATGAATCTTTAAAGTGACTCATGCGAATCGTAAAAACAAATTTTTATATTCTAACATAGTTTTATAATCTTTAAGAGGTAATTCGAATTTTATTATACTACATTTAATTGATATTCATTTGATATTATAGTTTAACGATTAGAAAATACTAAATTAGTATATATATATATATATATAATTGTAATTAAAATGATAAAATAGAAATTTATTATATTACGTGAGACGATAAAATATTCTTAGTAACATTTGGTAATATTATTATTATTATTATTATTATTATTATTATTATTATTATTAACTGGAATTAGGAACTCGAAAGTTCATTGCAGCAAATACCAAATCCCGCCATATTTGTAATATATACATATATATATTTTAATTAAATTAAAAATTTAATTTATTTAAAATTCAATTTTTAAAATTATAAAATTAATTAATTTAAAAAAATAATTGTTATAATTAATATAATTATAATATTGAGGTTGGGATAACTAAATCATTGCTGATTTTAAAAAGCCATCTATCGACAAAATCTGCAATCACTTAGAGTTCTTAACTTTAATATAAAAAATAAATTACAAATAATAATATTTACAATTAATATTATAGTTAAAATAATTAACAAAAAAAAAGTTTAATTTAATTTTTATAATTATAATATAATTATAATATATAAGAAATTATAAATAATAATTTGTAAAATTAATACTAGTTGAAATAATTTAAAAATAAAATGTAATTTCATTAAATTTCAATTAAATTTAAATTAAAAAAAAATAATAATATTTAAAATTAATATTATAGTTAAAATAATTGACAAAGAAATTTAATTTAATTTTTATAATTAATATAATTAAACAAATTTAATTTAATTTAATCCCAATTAAATTTAAATTAAAAATAATAATGTATATATATATAATTACAATTTACAATTTAATTTAAAATATATTATCTATCTATCTATATATATATATAAATTGTTTTTGGGTGTGTGTGTTTTTTATTTTTATTTTTTTTCTATTTTGATTTCTTTGTTTTATTTCTTTTATTTTTTTTTTTTATTTTTATGAATACGATCCTATATAATAATAAAAAAAAACATGGCTCGAATTTCCGGTGATAAGACTCTAGGACAAGTGATTAACTTCGTTATGTGTGTGTGTGTGTGTGTGTATGTATTTGTGACTGTATGTGAGTGTGTATACACGATTCGACGATTATTAAATTAATACAATACTTCAACGTTAGATTTAATGAAAATTACCATGGAAAATAACTCGTTCGTGATGACTTGCTAACAGATCCAGAACACAACATCATCTAACATTTTCCTATTATTATTATTATTTTTATCTCATTATTCAAATTATCTTCATCATCTGTTGTTTCTTTTCTTCTCTCTTCTTTGTTTTTTCTTCTGCTTTTTTCTCGTTTTTTTATCGTCACATGCTATCATCATGAAATATTAATTAAGCTTGATCATTTAAACATCACACACACACACACACACATACGAGAGTTGATATTTACAAATGATATATTATTTACTGTAATAAATATGTGATGCCATTTAAGAAGAAAAAAAAAATAATTAAAAAAAAAAAAGAAGAAGAAGAAGAACGAAATATTTAAAAGTGAAATTAGATTTCAACAAAATTTCGACATTTCTGAAAAAAACAAAAAAACAAAAAAAAAAGGAAAGAAAGATAAAAATCATTTAACAATTCATTTAAATATATTTAAATAAAATGAATATGTTTAACAACATTGTATAGATTTACCAAATGTTTCGTTCATTATTTTTTCTTTTTTCATAACTTAAAACAAACATTGTTTTTTGAATGATGGTAATCGCGTTGATTAAAGGAATAATTATTTATTTATATATTTCATTAAATAATTAAAAACCAACATAATATGTTTTCTAAAAAAAATAATACATATTTTAGTTTTATACACATAATATATAAATAAATTCATATAATAATAATAATATAATCTTCTTCTTTTTCTTATAATTGGAACTATGTCCAATTATTCCTAACTTCACAGCCCCCTGTAGGCCCCTGTAGGCTGTGAAGTTAGTTTAAGGAGCAATTATTATTTTTTTTACCGAGGTTAGGTTGCTAATCTCACCCTCGAACCCTCCTCCTTTATCTGGGCTTGGGACCAGCTAGCTATTATCTAGATATCTAGACAATAACTAGGCGGAGTTACAAATATAATAATATAATATAATATTTATATATATTTAACTAAACATCAACTAAAAACTAACTAAAAATAAAACTAAACCAAAAAATCAAAACCAACACATGTTTTAAAAAAAAAAATAATATATATATATTTCAGTTTTATATATAAAATAATATAATAATAATATAGTAATTAATTTTTATTTATTACACTATCTATATTATATTACTATATTATTATTATTATATTATAATATATTATATTACTATATATATATAGTAATACAATTGACTCAGTCAGTAAATCTAATTTTAAATATGTGATATATATTATATATTACACATAATATATATAAAATAATAAAATAATATAATAATATAATAATCAAATTTTGTTTATTACACTATATTATATTACTATATTATTATTATATTTTACACCATATTATATTACTATATATATATATATAGTAATACAATGAGCCTTTTTCCTGGAAAGATTAAAAAAAGATCCGCTAGTAGGGG